GTTGAATTGACTTGAAAAGCAATAGGCTCTGGACCCTTTTCAGAGGAGCTTCCAAAGGGACCTGCAGTTGCGAGAGCTTGTGAAAGGGTTTTTCGCTTTTGTTTCGAAGCTGAGAGGTGGGAATGAGCATCCTGATTCCAGTGTTGTCCATGCTGTCATCATGATGATGATTTGATCTAGGAGGGTGGCAGGTGGAGAGGTGTGGAGTGTTATCTCTCAAAGATGCAGTGGACCAAAATGAGCCTGTTAATTCCTTCTTGCCCTGTATTGTATTCTAATATTGCATGTACCTGAAGCACAAAAGCGTGGCTGCCTTTGTGTTCACCTATTTGTTGATCACATCAGTACCATTTTGCTCTTAAGAGGCAAAAATACTTAGCAGTTTTTCTTTTAAGAGTGCTGGTTTTTTATTGGCCACAATTCCCCTTAACCAGACAAGATTAGAATGTGCTGTATTACTGTAGATATTTCATAATAGTTGCATAAGGTCATCAGAAGGCATAGTTTACAGCCAAAGAAAGTCTAGACAAAAGTTGGAGTAAGGAGCTGTTGCTTATTAATAATCTTCTAATAACAAGATGCTTCAAGGCTCAGCTAACTTGGGCATACCAGGGGTTCCGACTCAATACAAAGGCAGCAGTTGATAGACAATGAAGGTCTTAAAGTGACAGAGGTAACCACTGTCAGTCATCCACACAGCTGCCAACAACACTATAGCCTCCTAAATGAGCTTTTTAAATTGCCTCTGTGATGTCAGCTCTTCACCATGTTGTTAAAGTGTAGCTTATTAATCAGGGTGCCAAAGTTTTCCAGCCTTAATTCTTGCTTAACATCTTTTGGATCCGAGGGCTACGGTAAATCCCTGCGATGTTTAGAGAGAGATTTCCATTGTCTTCAAAAGCTGTTGGCTTGGGCTCTCACTACAGCGTGGCTGGGGGACCTTTTTTGACAGGATAAGGTTATTCATGGCCTTGTTTCTGTGTAGGAGAGCTAAGTGCTGTAGTGCTTCTAACACTAGAGTTTGGATCATAGCCACAGAAAAGAGCTTTGACAGGGAGAAGAATATAAAAACTGAAATAACACTAAATCAAATAGAAGTTAATAGGAGAGCTGTTTGCAGAGAGTCCCATCTGTCTGACCCAAATAAGCTAATAAGATGTCAGTGGCAAAACTGCTAACCATTTTTGAGACTCTCATCTATTCTGTTTGCTGTTAAGTTGGTGATCAATATTAAGGAAAATGTTAATACTCTGATAGAAAATGTTAACACTCTGATACTTTCTTACATAGATGGAGGGAAAATCGAAGGTTTGAGGTACTACCATGTGTCTCATCCTACCTTCAGGGCAAAATTGTTTGGTTTTTTTATTGTATACCATGCACTTTCTAGGCAGGATTTTATTTGTCTGTGTGTTTTGTTTTCTTTTTTACTTTTCCCCATTCTCTATCTTGTGCTGTAAGCTTAGGTGAATGGTACAGACATCCAGAAAATCCTCAGGTCAAAATAGCTCTGAAAAAACATTCTATTACATATACAACCAAATGCATATATTCGGTTTACTATCCGCTTACTGTGTCTGGGATAGCACAGGGCAATGGATGGTCTATGATGTGGGACAAACAAAACTATGTCTAAAATTATCAAGCTCTACTTTCAGATATGCTTTAGACACTTGGATGCATCTGTCTTGCTACATGTTGTTTACTTTTGTGATCATACTTCAGTCCAGATTTTAAAGGTCTAGAGGTGCCTTAATTCCCATGAACACTTGGTACTTCAGAAAAACCTAGCCAAACCCCCAAACAAATAAACAAATCATCAATGTCTTAGTGGATTTCCTGCCCCACCACCAGCCCCCGTCACTGTCCAGGAGCAGACAGTCTGATGCGTGAACAAGGGGCAGGAGGTGCTATAGTCCAAACACCTAGGTTGACAATGTCACAACTATTTCAATATTCCCATGCTTCCCTGAGACCTGTTGATACCCTAGCATGTATGGCAAAAGATTCTCCTCTCTATGGCTATGCTTACGTAATGTGGCACCCCTTGGACAAACTATCTTTTCTGTTGAGAATGGTCTGCAAAGGTAAGTGGTAGTGACTGTGCTCTACCAAAATCAGGTGATTGGCTACTGTATCCCAACACAGATGAGCAAACCAAACTTCCAGATACTGGTATGGTAGAAGCTTCCTGTTACTAGTAAGCTGGCATCTTGCATTCTTCATCCCTGCAGAGAGTTGCAAGTAAAATTAAAATATAAAAAAATAAAAATAATTTTTTAAAAATTGCTTATATGTGGTTTACTTTGTGAATGTAGGAACGTATTACCTAGGAGAAACTTTTGCCCTTAGTCTAAGATTCCTGTCTATTGCTACTGCAGAACATAGCAAGAACTAACAGGCCTGGAAAGTCATCAACCTGATGATTTGAAATGGTTTGGCTTTATCTTTCCTCAAGTGTTTATTGACATGCCATTGTAGGGAGGAAGAATGCTTTCTCTTTGAATGACACCAGATGCAAAGCTGATCAAGCCAGTATGCCATATTCCTCATCACCTTCAGTATATTTCATGCCCTTCTAAGAGACATGTTTCTTCTATTCCTCTAACAGAACACTAACTGTGATACAGTAAATACAGTTTTGATCTGTTCTGTATCGGTGTATACAAGTTTTACGATTTTAGTGCAGACGTGAGTGTGTTTCCTATCAGATTTTTGTAATCACTAGCTACAGATATAGCAATTGTTAACTACTCTTACACACACTTTCATGAAACAGTTGCAGAGACAATCCTAGGTTTGTTACCCAGAAGTACAGTTCAGTGTGTGAAGAATGGGAGGGGTAACAGGTGATTCTTTTATGCAGGGCTTTTAACGTCTTGCCAGAGCTGGCAGTAGGTCTATCTATGGTGTAGGATCTCACTCAGTACTGCTGTCTGGCCTCACACGCTAGCTATCAAGACCTGCATCACGTTACCATTTTCTCTATGGCAAGTCAAAAATAAAGTGAACATTTTCTCACCAGAATAAAGGAATCAAAGAACAGAAGAAGAGATCAGCTCTGGTATTCTTCCTCCTTTATCCTAATTACAGTTTAACCTGTATAGTGTAATCACACTAGGTTACCTGTTCCTAAAGTAGGAAAATGCAGAATTCTGACTTCTGAATGGATCAGAGTTTTGAGAGGCCCGTTTAGTAGGTGACTGTCTGAATAACAGTTGTCTTTTTGCTCACCTCTCTGGCAGGTGAATTACATCTCTGCGTTGTGCTACCCTGAGAACAGTCTAACGCATCCTTCCACTTATTTTTTGGGTTACTGTTACTGACCAGTAGCCTCTAGCAACTCTATGTTGTTGGCAGCTAAAGCAAGTAGATAAGTTGTTAAAAAATTTAGAAATCTTTAGATGAAAGCAACTTTGAATTTCCCGCAAGGTAAGGAGTGCCCCATTGCTAGGACATAAGTATTGGGTTGCCAGTGTTGCAGCAGCATGCTAGGGCACAATAACCAGAAGATGAGAGGAACTCATTCCCTTGCACAGCTCACGCTAGGTCAAATTTAGCAGTGAAGTAATAAAAAAATTTAAAAAAAAAAAAAAAAAAGAGTGAAATAGAGTAGAGCCAAATAATCTGCTGATGCAAATGAGCATTGTTGCATACCTTTAGGAAAGTGCTTCTAGATCTGATGCAGCAGATCTAACATTTCAAAATTTAACTTAATTTCCTGACTTTTTTTTTTCTTTTTAAGTGGACAGTATACCTTGAATACAATTCCCCGTCTTAAATTTGTGTGTACCACATATCTCATGAGATGTACATGGGAATATTTTTTGATTTAATGATCCAGAGAGTAAACTACATTGGCAGTTCCCAGGAACTCCCTTGTAACTGAAGATGCTCCTATTTAACAACTTGCTTCCAAAGGCAAGGGAAGATGCTAGCATGCATGGTTCCCCCTCTGTCCCCTGCATGGTGCTGAGTAGAACTTGTGTATCTCTTTGTCTTGGTCAGGCAGACTTAGTATGAAATTCTCCAGGATGGAGAATATGGTCCTGCCTTTTTTTCCCCACATCCACAAGTGCCATTGCAAAGAAACAGCAAACTCTAGGAGTGTGGAAACAGGCTTTTTTTTCTCCATCTTCCTTTAAGTTGACAGGTACTGAACACCAAAGGATAAAAACACATCTACTTTTTTGCTGTTGATTGTTTGTGTTGTGGGTGGGGGGTTTTTAATTCTTCTGTGCTGACACAATAGAGACTCAGTGAATAGGATTGAAAGGGGACTTGCATGGGTATCAGCAAGGCAGTTTCCTGGCTAGCCTGGCTTGCTCAGGTACAGAGAATGACTGGTACGTCAAAAAGGGATTATGATGAATTATGGTTGCCTGTTCAGCTTTCAAGGACCTTGTGCACAGTAGGATATACGTACATAGAAATGATCAGATGATGGGAGTGTCCGAGCCCATGCAGGTGTTGGTGAGCTTCTCTTCAGCTGGCTTCATCTCAGGCTTCTAGTTACAAGCAAATAACTTGCTATCATCAAAGACATTCTAAAATATCTGTACCATATGTTAATACTAGAAGCACTGTGGAAACAGTACTATGTTTTTTATTCTCATTTCCTAAGCTTTCATCTCCATTTCTGTAACGTCACTCCTGTGTATGCTGTTATATCCACATGTCAGTAGTGCTTGTGCCTCAC